GCGAACGAATGGTGGAGCTTGAAGCGGACGTGGACGAGAAGGATTGGATCATGACGCTTCTCGGAGGGCTCGGAGAGGAATGGTCAACCGTCATCACCACCCTCAACACATGACGCCACACGCGGACCTCCTTGAGGATGTCTCGGCGGATGCTCCTATCAAGCGCGTGGTCTTCGGTAATCAAGACTCGCTTGAGGTGAATGGACGCGGAACGTTGCGCCTCGCGGGTGGACGGCGGTCCAATGACGATCAACAACGTGTTGGTTGTACCGGGACTCGGCGCCAACTTGCTCTCCGTATCACAACTCACCACCAAGGGAATGCGTGTCAACATTGAAGGCACGGTCATGACATTGAGCACGTCTTCCGGGCGCTTCATCGGCAGAGCGCATCAAGACGGCAGTCTCTTCAAGCTCGTGGCTACACCGAATCTTGCGTCGGCGCACGCGGTGGCGGCGAAGCCTTCATTGGAGATGTGGCACAACCGCTACGGGCACTTGAGCACGTCAACCATCCGCACCATGTCAACTCAAGGCGTGGTGCACGGGATCGTCGCCGACTTCTCAACGAACGAGGAGGTGGAGAAGTGCTCGGCGTTTCTTGAAGGGAAGATGGCGAGGAAGCCGTTTCCAACTCGCACGACGCCTCTCGCCTCCAACCCGCTCGATCTTGTCCACTCCGACTTGTGTAGACCACTCACCCCTACCTCCAAAGGGGGAGCACGATACATTCTCACCCTCCTCGACGACGCTACACGAATTGTGTGGGTCTATCTTCTCAAGGACAAGAGCGCGACTTCTACGACAATCAAGAAGTGGGTGGCTCTTGTTGAGACGGAGAAAGATGGACAACTCGTGAAGCGGATTCGGTCGGATGGAGAAGGAGAGTACGTGAACAACGAGCTCGACGGGTGGTTCAAGGCGCGGGGAACCTTCCACGAGGTGTCGGTTCCTCACTCACCTCAACAAAATGGAGCGGCGGAGCGCTTGAACCGCACTTTGGTTGAAGCGGTTAGGAGCATGCTTGCCCATGCTCATGCGGACAAGACTTGGTGGGGTGAAGCGACAATGTTGGCGACTTGGATTCACAACCGAAGCTTGACCAAGACATTGCCGAACGTCACACCCCTTGAGGCATGGAGTGGCGACAAACCAGACGTCTCCAACCTTCGCACATTCGGGTGCATTTGCTACTACCACGTCCCCGACGCTACACGCACCAAGCTTGAGGCGAAGGCGCGTGTGGGGATGCATTTGGGTCATAGCCTTGATCACAAGGGATGGCGAGTATGGGACTTGGAGAGCGGAAAGTTGGTGGTGTCGCGCGACGTCTCATTCTTCGAGAGCCGCTTCCCAACTCCATCAAGCAACAAGCATTCGATCGTGGTCATCCCTCCAACGGTTGATGACACGAACGAGGCATCTTCTAGTGACGTTCCCGAGGAGAGGGGTGTTCAAGACGAGGAGGGAGATGTTGTTGAAGTGGTTGGAGTGGAGAGCGAGAAGGATGGTGATCCTTCTACCGTCGTCGCACCAACGCTTGCATCTACTCGCGCTCGAAGGGCTCCTCACCCGAACTCGAAGTACGCCGACTACTCGATTGTGGTGGAGGATGATGAGGAAGGGGGAGATGCCATGTGCTTCATGGCCGAATTCACACCTACCACCTACCGTGAGGCGATGGAGACGCTCCAAGCCGGTAATTGGACTCAAGCACTCAATGAGGAGTATGAGTCAATCATCGAAAATGATGTGTATGATCTTGTCCCCTTGCCCCCAAATAGCTACACCGTTGGGTCCCGATGAGTCTTCAAGAAGAAGCTCGGGCCGAACGGTGAGTTGGAGCGATACAAGGTTCGTTTGGTGGCACAAGGATACACGCAAAAGGCCGGGCTTCACTACAACGAGACCTTTGAACCGGTAGCAAAGTCTTTTACCCTTCGTGTTCTCTTAGCTCTAGCGGGAGGACTTGACTTAGAGGTAGAACAACTTGATGTAAAAACCACATTTTTATATGGCCACCTAGAGGAGGAGGTGTATATACGGCAACCGCCAGGGTTCGAGGATGGTACGGACCGTGTGTGCAAGTTGAAGCGCACCATCTACGGCTTGAAGCAAAGCCCTAGAGCGTGGTACATGAGGATGGACAAGCACTTGCTTGAGTTGGGCTTCACACGGAGTGAGTGTGATCACGCCCTCTACATCCTCAACCGTGGGGAGAAGAAGCTCGTCCTACTTCTCTACGTGGACGACCTCCTCCTCGTTTCCAATTGCAAGGACCTTGTGGCGGAGATCAAGGCGAAGCTTGCATCGGAGTTCTCCATGCGCGACCTTGGTGCCGTGTCATACTACCTCGGCATGCACATCGACCGGGATCGTGCGCACAAGACTCTTCATCTTCACCAACACAAGTACTTGGAGGACGTGGTGGCTCGCTTCGGGATGAGCGAGAGCAAGCCGGCACCCACACCCATGGAGGTGGGGTTCCACCCTTTGGCTACAAGCGAGGAAGTCCCTATGGATCCCGAGAAGACCAAACGCTTTCATTCCATAGTAGGCTCATGCATGTATGCCGCTGTGAGCACCCGCCTCGATCTCTCATTCACGGTTGGGCTACTTGGGCGAGTAGTCTCCAACCCCATGGTAGAGCATGAGCGTGCCTTGCGTCGTCTTCTTCGCTATGTTAGGGGCACTAGTCACCTAGGGCTCCACTATGATGCCGGGCCGGTAGCACTCATTGGGTTCACGGATGCCGATTGGCGGGAGATCCTTCCACTCTGCAAAGCACCTCGGGCCTTGTCTTCACGCTCTTTGGGGGAGCGGTGGCTTGGCAAAGCAAGAGGCAAAACTTGATTGCCCTTAGCTCAACCGAGGCCGAATATGTTGCTCTCAACCGTGGTGGTACCGAAGCCGTGTGGTTAAGGCGTCTCCTAGCCGAACTAGGATACGAGCAAGAGGGACCCACACCGATCTACGTGGACAACCAAGCGACAATCAACCTCGCCAAGAACTCGGTCCTTCATGGAAAGACCAAACACATCCAAATTCGTCATCACTTCATCCGCAAGCTCGTCGAAGACAAGGAGGCGGAGCTACGCTACGTGAAGACCAACGCTCAATCCGCGGACTTCCTCACCATGCCTAGAGATACCTTTCATGCATGTTGTGCTAGGGTAGGCTTGTATGCATAGGTGCTTGTGGGGACCAAGGGGGAGTGTTGGAGGTCGGTGGGGGGCCAAGTGGTCCCCACTACACACCCCTCCAACCTTACCTAGTTGGGTTGGGTGGCGAGAGTTTGGGCGGAGGGTGACAGTGCACTCAAGTCAAGGGATGCACTTGGGTGGTAGCAAGAAACTATCGAGGGTTTAGCGCAATTTGCAAGTGGGCGGAATGAACCAAACAAAAGCACAAACAAATTGCGCGATGTGATTGGTCCGACCCATTGCATTTGCAACTTGTGTGCATGGACGGAAATGTAAACGGAAAAGGACGTAACCCTTTTTCCGAAATTTCACCGTCCATTTTGCAATTGGGTGGGTTACGAAATTGCACGCGGCTCGGTTACAAATGCGATTCGACTATAGGGAGTTTCTTGATTTCTATCTTATGAGGTATAAAAACTCACTCGTCATTTGTAATTGCATCCTCTCTGGAATTGTGTACCCAGCCCTATATTATTGAAGCATACGTTCTCAATACTTGGCCGTTCTTGGCGTTCTTTGTTGCTACGGATTCATCACTCAGAAACCTATCCAGAAAGAGCTCACAAGAATATTTTCATCAAGTATTTAGTTCACGACGACGTTTTAAAGCATACGGATTTCCTGAAGTTGTTAGCTTGGTAGTTGAAATGAGGCTCCAGAATTTTCCGCGCCAAACCTGATTCAAGGGAGGAAAATTTTCCAGCCCTGAAGCCTAAAGGGCCGAGATTCCCCCCAACCCTGCTAAATACATGGTCATACATGCCGGGCCCCCTGATTTGTCCGGGGGGCCCAAAACGAAACGACAGGCCTGTTTGAAACATAGCTGAGCAAAGCATCGTACCTGAATTGAAACCGAACGCGCGGGACATCTCTTCTCAGAGGTAATTTTGTTACCGTATGATTGGGAGGAACTCCGATTTGCTCCAAAACGGTCCTTGAAAACTCCGGTCCGGTGTGTTTCCGAGTCTGTCATGATTGGGACCAGTGCACACAAGTTGACAATCTCGAGGTTTAAAGCGACGGTGCACATTTGCCACCCAAAACCCAGAACCCTGGCGAACTGTTACTGCGGATGGAAAGTGTCCGCACGAAATCCTGGTTTTCGCCAGCCAGCACGCGCTGGCAAGCCTGGTTAAAAAAAAAAACTTCTGAACCCAACACTGCCAAAAGTTGCCCGTCGCTTTAAGAAAAGCAAATTCCACATGCCACCGTACAGCATCCCTTCTAATCGAATTGTTAATTTACACAACCGCGTCCAACCATGCGAGAATAGCAATTTTGCCAACAATTGAACCTGATCCTCTTTGCTACCCGCCTCACCTGAGCAAGCCAGTGGTGCCTCCTTTCAATATCCTATCTTTGCTTCTCCGCTGATGCTGCTGCGCTGCTGGGCTGCTGCGCCTGTCGTGGCGGGTCATTTTCCCGTTTCGCTGTGCGACATTTGCTTTCACGGTTTGCTCATCTGCGACATTCTTCCTACGACTACAGCTGCTGATTTTCTACGAGCTCGCTCTAACGCGTTCGCATTGCGAGTTTCTAGCCCGCATTTTATGGCGAAAAGATGAGAGGACGCGATTATTACTACGAGCAGTCTAATTTCGTCACGCAGCATCCCGCAGTTCTCGGGAATTCGCTTGGCGGCTTATTACGGTTAGTTTCGTTTCGGAGGTTCGATAGTAGCTGAGAGGAAAAGAGGGGAGGGGAAGGTGCAGCTGGGATTGCACTTCGCTTCTGGGATTTTTGCGACCGTGCCTGACGAGCGGATTTTTGCCGTGAATTCAATTCCCTAAGCGAGCGGATGAAAGGCCAGCGGGAGGCGGAGCGGATGCGCAAGAAGACGCCGCCGCGCCGACCCGCGGAGAGCGGCGGAGCCCACAGATCGGCGGAACGATCCGCGCAACTTCCGGAGAGCATACATGACCTGTACGGGGCTCCGCAATTTGGGAATGCGGCAGCGAGTTACGGCGGAGAGGAGCGGTATTACGAGCACCCGGCGCAAGCACACGGGGAGCGCGCGATGGGGAGCTTAGCGGCGGGTATGGTGATGGGGGAAGTCAAGAACCACACGGGGAGGGTCAAGGAGTTGGGTAGGGCTAGAAGCGGTATGGCGGAAGCAGACACGGCTCATGGGAGGGCAGGTGCGGATATGGTTCAAGGGAGGGTGTATAGAAAAATGGCGACGGAACGAGAGAGAGGGAAGGAGGCGGAGCGGGAGAGACAGCGCGACCTCGAACGGGGAATTTACCTTGGAAATTTTGACAGATCCGTGTCGGAAACCGCGATTGAGAGGGCGCAGTCGGGTGGTTTACCCTGGAATAATGCGGACAGAGCACATGAGCTGCTGGATAGACCGCCTACGGGGTCGCTTGGGGTGGAAAGGATGAGACGGAGGGAGAAGGGAGCAGAGGCGAGACGAGAGGCGGAGAGGGAGGGGGTGAGAGGGAGGGCGAGGGATGGGGTTAGGTCAGGGGTTGGGGGAGAGGCGGATGTGATGGGAGGAGGAGGTAATTATAATGAAGGGGGGAATGAACAGTACTTACGCATGGCGACGTGTGATTCGTCAGTGCGACCAGGGAGGAGCAGGGGCGGGTGGGTCCGGGGGGGACAGGGTGGGGTTGGTGGCGAATGGGAGTGTGACACGTCAGCTGGGAGAGAGGACGAGGACGAAGCAGAAGGGGATATTGAGGAAGATATGGGGCTACGGACAAAAGCGGCAAGTAGGCAGCAGGAGCAGCAGCAGCAGCAGGGTTTCGGTGCTTCAGCTGCTGCTCACGCTGCCTCCTCTTCTACTGTTTCCCACTCCTCTGCGGGTCCGAGGCGAATGCAGCACAGTGTAACAGCAGGGGAGGCAGGAGGCAGGGAGAGGAGGCGAGGGAAGGTAGTGGGAAGCGCAGGGGAGAAACGTGGGGGTGGGGTGGGTGGTGGTGTCGGGGAAGGGGAGGATGAGGGGATGAGCAGTGATCACCTGACGAGAATAGCCGCCCAGATGATGGGGTTCGAAGATGGGGAGGAAGAGGACGGGTTACAGGAAGGATGGGGGGAAGAAGGAGGAAGAGGAGGAGGAAGCAGAGAAAATTTCCAGGAGCCACGGCATGAACCCAGCCACAGCTCCTCCCGACCCTCTTCCATCCGCAAGGCACACTCAGCCTCGGCCAAGCCTGCCAAATCCGGAGGCTTGGCAACAGGCTCGGGAACCGGCGCAGGTGGCGACGATGCATCTATTGAGCAGCTGCTTCAGCTGGGGTTGAATGATTCGCGGCTAAGGGACTGGGCTGCTCGGTTCAAAGCAGGAGAGACAGACAGACGGGAGCTGCAGACACTGCTGCTGGAGCTTCAGAAGGAGCAGGGGTTGCAAGGGGTGGGGGGAGGAGCAGGGGGGAGGGGAGAGGAATTCACAGGAGGGTTTGCAGTGGGGGCAGATGGGGCAGAGGGAGTGGCTGATTCTGTTGCTGCAGCTGCTTCTGGGTCAGGATTAGGGTTAGGGTTTATGGGGGGTTCGAGACCTAGATCTTCCTCTCGCAGGCTTGCCAGCAGCAGTGGCGTCCGAAGCAGGCCAGCTTCGTCGTCGCACCACAACCGAACCCAGAGGGCCGGGCATGCCAGGTTCGGCAGCAGCATGGGCTTGGTAACAGGCCTGGGCGGCTTAGGCTCGGGAGCAGGTTCGGGAGACCCCTTGGAGGGGTCTGGTTCGGAGGGTGGTTCGGACGCGGAGGATTTTTTGACTTCGGTTCCCCCGTCGGCTCTGGACGTTCTGCAGGGCAGCGGGCAGGCGAAAAAGAAACCCCCGACCGGAAATTGGAAGAGTCCGCTCTCGGGAGCAACACCAGGGGGAGCCTCAGCCGCGTCTGGCGTTCCCTCCGCGCAATCAGGTCCGTTGATCTCAGCAGGATCTGTCCCATCAAGATCCCGAGGAAAATCCGCAGCGTCGATTCTAAGGCATGGCAGTTGGGAGCAGAGGGAGTTTGCACAGCTGGCAGAGCAATTCGGACTGGCTGCAGAAGAGGAGGGGCTGGGCGGGTTGGTGGAGGATGGGATGCAGGGAGGTGCAAGTGTTGCGGGTGGACCTGGGGTAGGTTTATCTGGTGCGAATGCATCTGGGGCGGGGTTATCTGGTGCGGGTGGGAAGTGGATTGGGAGGAGCAGCTCAGTTCCTGAGGCAGGCCCGTCTGGGGGCTCGTGGGGGTTTAGTGGGATGGTGGGAGGGGAGGGAGGAGTGGGAGGAGTGGGAGAGGGAGGAGTGGGAGAGGGAGGAGTGGGGGACACAGAGGATGAGGCGCAGAGGGGAGAAGCAAGGGGAGTATCGGAACCAGTGGCTGATGCTGCTACAGCCGCAGCTGCTACAGCTGCTACAGCCGGTGGTGGTGGTGGGGGTGGGGGGGGGCGGGGTGGTGGTGACTTGTATGGGGGACGGGGTGTAGGATTTCAGGGAGGAGTATCGGATCTGTATGGCAGCAATGGCCTGGCCGCTGCTCCCCTTGTAGCAGGGTCCGCCGCTACTGCTACAGCTGCCAGTGATGGTGGTGGTGGTGCTGCTCCTGCTGCTGCTGGTGCTGGTGCTGCTGCTGCTCGCACTGGTGGTGACCTGTATGCGGCACCACCACCACCATTCCCACTGCCACCACACCCATCAGCACCGCTCCCACCAGCATCCTCCCTCTCCAGAAAACCCCCTCAGCCAAGGCTCCCCCGCGCTTTCTCTGGAGACACAGCAAACGCCCCTCCCCCCCGCACCTCCTACCCAGGAGAGGGAGGGAGAGAGGGCGCGATATCGGGAGCAAGAGAGGGAGAAACAGACGGAGTGGGAATTCTAGGGGGGACGGAGGAGGGGATGTTGGCTTTGGAGCGGAATCTCAGCCTACCGTCGCCGAAGCCGGTTGCACAGGTGGAAGAGGCATCGTTTGATCGCAACCTGTCGCTGCACAATGTGATCAAGAAGCGGATCAGCAGCCACGCCGGGGAGGTGGGGCAGCAGTTTGCTCGCTTATCCACCCTCCTGAAGAAATCATGTGAGTGCTTCCATTCTCCCTCCCATGAAGTGGCCTCCTCTCCCAACAAGTTGCCCCAACCAACCAACCTGTCGCTGCACAATGTGATCAAGAAGCGGATCAGCAGCCACGCGGGGGAGGTGGGGCAGCAGTTCGCCCGGCTCTCCACCCTCCTCAAGAAGTCGTGTGAGTGCTTCCATTCTCTCTCCCATCAAGTTGCCTCCTCTCCCATCAGCAGCCATGCCGGGGAGGGAAGGCAAGGCAGCAATTCGCGCGCTTGTACACCCTCCTGAAGAAGTCATGTGAGTGCTGTATCTCTCCGTCTATGTGTACGCCCTTATTGTTTTGAGACGTCTCAAAACACTACGTCAAACGCTTGTACACCCTCCTGAAGAAGTCATGTGAGTGCTGTATTGTATCTCTCCGTCTATGTGTACGCCCTTATTCTCCCCTTCCCTGCCACGTGAAAGAAGAGTGTTTTTGAGACGTCCCAAAAACACTCTTCTTTCACGTCACCCTCCTGAAGAAGTCATGTGAGTGCTGTATTGTATCTCTCCGTCTATGTATATGCCCTTATTCTCCCCTTCCCTGCCCACCTCGCTTGCTTGCCAGCGTCCAACCCAACCCCAACGCACCTGGCATTGGCAGCAGTGGAACAGCAGCAAGGGGCCAATGGAACAGCAGCAAGGGGCCAATGCTCTCTCACCTTTTTATTCTCACTTGTGCCAATCTCGACTACCTTCATTTTCTTCCTCTCTTTTTGAGCATTCTCAAAAGTAACATCTCACCTTTTCCACCCTTTTCTTCCTCTCTTTTTTGAGCGTCCGCACCTGGCATTGGCAGCAGTGGAACAGCAGCAAGGGGCCATTTTTTATTCTCACTTGTGCCAAACTCGACTACCTTCATTTTCTTCCTCTCCTCTCTCACCTTTTCCACCCTTAGTCTCTCGTGCCTGTCCTGTCCTGCTCCGTGGCTTGCTTGCCTGCGTCCACCCCCAACGCACCCGGCAGTGGCGGCAGTGGAGCAGCGGCAGTTGGTCATGTGTCATTCTCACCTGTAACGATCTCATTCTCTTGCTCTTTCCTCCCGCTTGCTTGCTTGCCAGCGTCCACCCCCAACGCACCTGGCAGTGCGGGCAGTGGAGCATCCTCAGGGGGCAAGCAATAATCCCATTCTCTTCGTATTCATCCCCTCATCTCTTTCCCTGTCCTTCTTTACGCCCGTGCCGTCCCCTGCTTGCTTGCTTGCCAGCGTCCACCCCCAACGCACCTGGCAGTGCGGGCAGTGGAGCATCCTCAGGAGGCAAGCGGCCGGCGCAGGAGGGAAAGAAACCACCCAAGCCAGCCAAGAGCGGATCAGACAGACCTTCCAGCGGCAACCCACTCTCCAGGTGTGTGTGTTCTCTTCTCAGCATCCACTAGCAATGCACCTGGGAGTCGGTTGGGGCAATGGAGCAGCAGCAAGGGGCAAGCGGCCGGTAGAGTTGAGCAGGTGCCCCGCTCGGGTCGGGCTGACCCGACCCGACCCGAGATTTTCCCTGGGTCGGGCCAAGGATTTCGAAACCTTGCCCCGTACGGGCCGACCCGACCCGACTCGGCCAGAGACCCGACCCGAGAGCCCATTTCGGGCCGGGCCGGGCCGGGTCTCGGGTCGGGCTTGACCCGACTCGATTTCGGGTCAAAATTGTCGAAATCGGGTCGGGGCAGGAGCGCGACCCGATTTCGACAGTGTTAGGGCCGAAACCCTAACACAAATGTAAATCGCGGGGATTTCTTCCCCGTCGATTTACATTTCGCCAGACAAGCCGCTAGTCGACTTAGGGTAGTACTTAGCTGTCCTTAACCTCCCAGAGAACTTAGTTAACTTTACAAATAGTTTCTACTTTAATTTACTCGTCATTATGGACGATTCTGGTTAAGTATAGTCCATTTCGCCCTCATCACTAGAGCAGTTTAGGGACCACCACGAAACAACTGCAACCTCTACTTATCGCACTTGTTGTGACGGACCTAGTGGGGAACCCAATCGCACTATTGTTTCGTGATGTCTCTACTGTTTGGTTACCAGTAAACCATCTTACATGTATTAGCAAGTAAAACAATGTATTATAAAACTATAGTGACGACAAGTATAACAGAGGAAATGTACAAGTCATGTTTTTTTCCCCCACCCTCCCCCTAAAGGGGCGGGTCAGCCTGGCCCGACCCGGCCCGACCCGACCTGAGGGCCCGAATGACCCGAGTCCTTAGGCCCGGGTCGGGCCAGCTGTTTCAGGAATCTGGCCCGAGCCCGGCCCGACCCGACCCGACCCGAGGGCCCGAATGGCCCGGCCAAATCGGGTCGGGTCGGGTCGGGTCGGGTCACATGCTCAACTCTAGCGGCCGGCACTAGAAGGTAAGAAACACTGTTGCTGTTTGGCAAACACTTTAAGCAAAAAAAACAAACCTGTTCGGTTCGCCTCGAAAGGTGTTCGTTTTTTTGCTCAACCCTACAACCAAGCCAGCCAAGAGCGGATCAGACAGGCCGTCCAGTGGCAACTCACTGGCCCGGCGGGGTTTGTTCTGTTTTGTTTGGTTATTTTCTTTCTGCCGAACCTCTTTCTCACCCTCCCGTCCTGTTTTTCCATTCCGATCATGTTTCTTCCTCCTGATCATGCATGTTGGTTATGCGCGTGTGTGCAACCATGTGTGCGTGCTGCAATTGTATTCAAGGTGAGCCTGTACTGTACGTGTAAATGCTAAAAAAAAGTTGTCGAGAACCAAAACAATTGTCCTTTTTGTCCTTTTGTCCCTAAACCCTAAACTCTCCTTGTCCTTTTTTCTTTTACCCTAGCATCACCTCCTCCTCTACCCTCCTTCTTCCCTCCAACTTCCCCCCCCCCCCCCCCCATTCTTCTCCCTCAGAACATCATCCATAGCAGCAGAGTTTGGCGATTTGCCAGCACCCAAGAGGGTCTTCCAAAACCCGAAACCCAACTCCCTTTCTTCCCCCCACCCCTTCCCGTTCCCCCCAACTCTCTCGTTCCCCTCCCTCAGAACATCATCCATAGCAGCAGAGTTTGGCGATTTGCCAGCACCCAAGAGAACGCACTACCAATATTCCGAACTACAGGTGTGTTTCGAATCAGCTTATAGCATGATCAGTATTTTGATGTGCCGTGCAGTGCACTGCATGGGCATGTGCATGTGCATGTGCATGTGCATGTGCGCGCAGTTATGGTGTCTCCCTTAGCTTCAAATAATATTGTTATTCATGCTGCAGCTAAAAACCGTTACTCGATCCTACAGCTCCAAATAAGCAAACTCAGATGCTCACATATTTCTGCGTAGCTTGTGATTAACCTTCTCCTCATTCCGGCACTTCTCAAATTTCCCACCCCTCGTCCAATCCCGCGTTGCCAGCTGGCGACCGAGAATTTCAACGAGGCCAACGTGTTGGGGCAGGGCGGATTCGGGAAGGTGTATTATGGCGTGCTGCCCGTGCACCCCGCTCAGGTGAGAAAATAGATGCTTCTACTAGATAACCGTATCGTGCGTGCATCACTGGAGCAGGGCCGATCCCAAGGGGCAGGGCGGATTCGGGAAGGTTGATTATGGTGTGCTGCCTGTGCACCCCGCTCAGGTGAGAAATCAGATGCTTCGTCTGGACACTGTACCGTGCTTAACTGTAGTGGGGCCCAACGTGTTGGGGCAGGGCAGGTTTGGGAAGGTGTATTATGGCGTGCTGCCAGTGCACCCGCTCAGGTGAGTCAGTAAAATATGCTTTGTCGATGCTGTGCCGTTCTTAATTGGATCGAAGCGACTGCTATGGAGAAGGGTTCGGGAAGGTGTATTATGGCGTGCTGCCCGTGCACCCCGCTCAGGTGAGAAATCAGATGCTTCGTCTGGACACTGTACCGTGCTTAACTGTAGTGGGGCCAACGTGTTGGGGCAGGGCAGGTTCGGGAAGGTCTATTATGGCGTGCTGCTAGTGCACTCCGCTCAGGTGAGTCGGTAAAATAGATGCTTTGTCGATGCTGTGCCGTTCTTAATTGGATCGAAGCGACTGCTATGGAGAAGGGTTCGGGAAGGTGTATTATGGTGTGCTGCCCGTGCACCCCGCTCAGGTGAGAAATCAGATGCGTCCGGACACTGTACCGTGCTTAACTGTAGTGGGCCCAACGTGTTGGGGCAGGGAGGGCCAGTGCAACCCTGCAATGAATGCTATCCTTCTCAGGTGAGAAGTCATAGTACGATATGGTGCTGTACGATATGGTGCTGTACGATATGGTGCTGTACGATATGGTGCTGTACGATATGGTGCTGTACGATATG